TGGGGAGGGGAGGTTTGTACAGAAATATATTTTGCAAATTTTACAAACCCACTGTAAACATATTGTTTGGGCTTCTCCAAGGGCCTTGAAAGTGAGGGCTCCTGAGCCTTCACTAACCTCAAGTTAAGAATAACCCTGGAAATGATTTGTTGAACAAATAAATAATGTTAGGCTTCAGTTGCTATCTGTAAATAGAATCTTCTCTAATATTTTAGAAAACGTAGTGAAATCCAGACGAAATTTGAGCTCATAGTATGGTTTTACTCCACCCACTCTTGTGATGTGATTTGGTCAACTTGTCATTATGGAACTTCACATGATAATGGCAGTCATAATTATATTAAGAACACATTAGCCTTACAATCTACTGACTTGGACATTTTGCAAAAATCACTTTACAAGACATTCAATGTCACCACATCCATATGAAACAGGTACTTGTCATTTTGCAAGTGGGTAAACTGAGAAATCCACTGAAGAACCGCCATTAAAATACACAAGACTAGTAATCTGGAATATGGACATAGTTTCCTTTTTCTGGAAATTTACAAAATACCTTGGCTACCTTTTTCATGATAATTTTTTTATTTATTGTAAATTTATCTTTATTGTTGAAAGCATTACAGATGTCACCTTTCTTCCTAATTGTCATGATAATTTTTAATAAAAGGGCCATGACTATAGGGAGAGAGTATAAAGAATTCAGTCAATAAAATTAGTTTATGTGAACTAGAAAAAATGTACTCTGATGCTAATATGCAAAATGTGTAATGTGCCTTGATGAGTGAAAGATATTATCCTTTTGTCATAAACTACTAAATTATTTAACCATTAAACTCTTTCAAAAATTATAAAGTAAATAAATATTTTGCAATTTTCTTTCAACTTAATTAAAACTGTTTTAGTCCAAAGTTTCATATACTGATACATACCTTATAGCTCCCATTTTAAAAAGAAGGAAAACATTAAAAATATTAGGGTCTAACAATAATGATATTACTTATTTATTAGTATATCTCCCTTCTTCCTATCTATTAGAACTTCCTATCTTTCCCCTTTGGGTTCTGAAGTGTCACATAACCTTCCTTTCTTACTATATTAACGTCATATAAACATATAAGCTTGTTTATGATACATGTACTTAATAAATAGAACTATAAAAAACATTTTAAAAGGTGGGGAGGATCCCAGCAGACATCAGATGATTCTATCTGCAATGAAGGAAAAACTTGGAATGAAACCCATGCTTATAACCTCTGTGGTTTGGGACACCATAACCTGGCCACAGGAATGCAAGCCATGAAAGGCATAAAGCAGAGCAGATTTGGCACACCTTGATGGTGAGCCAAATGTGCCAAGGCAATAATCTCTGTATAAATCATCAGGTGAATACACTCGACTGAGTCAAGTTTACCTATGTGTAAGGAACTGCCTCCATGTGAATCAACACATTCAGAGAGAAACTACAGAAATTTACTAGATATGGACAGGTCTGGATTATGTGAAATGTCTAAATCAGAAATATTTTAATAGCCTTATAACACCATGTGCACTTTATACCGATATATATTGCATCCAGCAGAGAGACTTCTTTCTCCCTGTAATGAAAATTCCTAGTTGTGAAATTAAAATTTTAAACCATTAGCTTTGTTTGAGAGTAATCCAGTGTGTCTACTTTTCCTAAAATTCTTGTACAGTGCTCAAGTTTGCCTCCTTAATGATGCCAACATGAGTTCTTAAACTTATAATTTTTTGCTGTGAACATCAGAAATTCTCTTAAACAACACTGAAAAATATTAAGGGGTCACACGGTTTCTCTCACTTGCTCAGCTTCCTCCATAGGGCTAACAAACGCTTTCAGAGGTGGAAATTTATACTAGCAAATGTAAATTCAGGCCTGTTAAATACAGTGAATAAACTTGCCCGCTACAGCAAGCATTCCATCCCAATTGACTAGGTGTGGCTTTTATTCATTGTTCAGTCACACTGAACAGAATCTGTTCTCTAGCTACCATCCCATTTAGGCTGACATTCCCTTTATCTGAGGGCTTATAATAAGCAAACCATACTCAGTTTTCCAAAAGCAGATGTGCTCTTCTGGTATCTTAGAAACAGATCAAAGTATATTTTGTGGAAAAACCTGAAGTTCAAGCCAGTGATATCATGTAGGTCTTAATATACAACCATACAAACATCAGGATAAAAAATTTAAACAGCCCTGACCAGTTTGGCTCAGTGGATAGAGCGTTGGCCTGCAGACTCAAGGGTCCCAGGTTCAATTCCGGTCAAGGGCATGTACCTTGGTTGCGGGCACATCCCCAGGAGGGGGTGTGCAGGAGGCAGCTGATCGATGTTTCTCTCTCATCGATGTTTCTAACTCTGTGTCCCTCTTCCTTTCTCTCTGTAAAAAATCAATAAAATATATTTTTAAAAAATTTAAACAAAACGTGACTATTTTAGAGAAAATAATCACATTATGGTAGGTGTTAAAAGGGATCAAGGATTGTTTGGGGAGAGTAGGTACCAGAGAAATTAATTAAAATCTTGTTACTGTTATAGTTATATCAAAATCCATAATAAAGAACATTTCTTTTGAATCACAATGGTAAATGTCATTTAAAATTGTCACTAGCTCAATTACAACATGCCTACAAAGCAGCTTTCTAGACCTCAAAAGAGGATCATATTAACCATTGTGGAGTTAATTTTTTTAACATGTAATAACTGCAAAAATTAACCTTTTATCAGTTTATGACATCACAACAGCTATTTTTAAATACATAATCCACAAGTTAGAAAAACAATTTCCAATTGTTCCCTGGGGTCTTATAAGTAATGACCTACATCTTGTGATATGCTATAAAATAAATTGTATTCCTGTGAGTCATATTAGTCATGTTCTACAGCCTGAAATCTAAAATTACCCTCACTGAAGAAATAAGGCAAATGTATTCTATTATAAAAAGCAAGAAGAATCTAATTAGAAGGCACAAGAGGCCAGAAAACTCAGTGTATCTCTTAGTCTCTAAAGGAAGCCATCCCCTATTCCCCAGTGTGAGCCATCATGATCGATAATGCATAAAGGGTTGAGACTGGGAATGGAGAAACTCTACTAGAATCTGAATAGAAAATGAATAGTCCACCTTCTGTCTCTACCCCTACTTTAGCCTAGGCCTTGCTCTGATTCCCTGAAACAGGCGTTTGATTGCTGCCCTGATGCTATCTCTTTTTTTATTTTTATTTATTTTTATTTTTTTAAATTTAAGGCTGGGCTCACGTGTGTGATAAAATCTGGCTCCTATTCTTTGTTCAGTCTGAAATTGGGACATCCCACGAGAGGCTGAGAGTAGTAAGGATGGGTGAAAAAACTCCCTTGGTTTATTCCCCACCTACTCACATTTTCTGGACTCACCAAGCACATTCAGTCTTCTGTGGCTTTTTTTATCCTGTCTCAGTATCTAGTAGATTTCCTCTTCCCTACCACTTTAGAAGTAGGAAAAAATGTAAATATTTCAGTGCGTGAAAGCCTAGTTTGAAGGAGTCCAACCATGTAAAGTAATCCTGAAGGCCAAAGAGGAGCTCTGAGGAACTCACTGGTGACTTTCTGGGAACTAATTTATAACATAATTAATCAGCAATGAATTCCAAGGCAAATATATATATATACACATACATATTTTTGCAAACTGATAAAACATGAAATCTATGTATTTTTACTTAAATTTGTCTAGATGTTCTGGGAAATGAGAATCATAGTGCAAAATTTTAGTGACTCACCAATGCCCCTGCCACCTGTTTTGTGCATTGTCTGTAAATATGGAGTACTTAAGGGGTGTCCTATCTACACATATCTCCTTTAATTCTGAGAATCAACTTTATAATGGAATAGTCAATCTGCTCTCTGCACCCACATTTTCATTGTATCTAAATACTATATACATCTTTCAGCATTCATCAGCACTGATGAAATAGGTAACAGGATAACATAAACCTTTCAAGTTAGTATCTTGTTAATGGTTTAAAATAAGTAGGCCGGCTAGAATTAGAATGAGACATCACTGAACTAAATTTGAGACCTGGTAAATTCAGTAGAAAAGGGAGTTTTCAATTCCTCCTGAAAGACCAAACTGCAACTTGATATTTTAAGGTAGCAAAACAAGATGAATTATCAATAGGAAAAATTTGCTTTTAAAGGATCTAAGCTCACTGATCCACAAAAATAGTAGATACTGGTCTAGAATGACACCATAATCTTATTAATTTCTGCAAAGGAAAACTCTGTGGCTAGGTCAAATTAAATCCACCATCAAATACCTGACCAGTATTCCTCAAGACTGACAAGGTCATGGGAAACAGGGAAAGACTGAGAAACGGTCACAGACCAGAGGAGAGAGGGGGACAAATTCAAATAAACGCACTGTGGTACCGTGGATTGGACACTGGAACAGAAAGAATGATGAGGTCTGAATAAAGTCTGGAGTTTAGTTAACAGTAATGTGTAAATGTCAGTTTCTTAGTTTTGACAAAAATACCATGGGAAAATATTAACAGTGGGAGGAACTGGGTAAGAGATCATTTGGGAACCTTTTGCACTATCTTCGCAATTTTTCTTTAAATTTAAAATTATTTTAAAATAAAAACTCTATTAAAAAGTAACAATAAAACCATCAAAAACTGTTTGAATTTAATATCGTAGAATTCACAGATTTACATCATGTAATAATAATCAAACCTCCTCATCTTAAAATGCCCGTTCCTTTATTGATATTTTTCTATAAACTGAATTCATGTTTAAATACAGCCCAGATTTTAAATCGAACACACCTGATTGCTCCCTTCACATGCAGGGCAGCTTTGTGGTGTCAATGAATATATTAGCTTGGGTCCTAAATCCTTCTGTAACTAACTTCCCAAAGGCCCTGAAAGGTTATTCCAATGTAGATATATATTCTTTAAAAAAGTACACATATGCAATTTTTAAAAACAATGCTGTGACTTACAAGTGATGACATTTGAGCATTTTGGAGCATAAACTGCATCTGCTGGGCAAACATGGCTGCGGCAGTCTTTTGTTGAATCAGATTGTTCCGTCCATTAATTTCCAGCTGCGTTTTTAAGTGTGGAGGAGGGTGAAGGTACTTGCAATTCTCTCTAGCACATCGACCCTAAAAATGAAGAATTAGAGTAATTTTCATTAATTTTTCTAAAAATCTGATATGGATAAGAAAAATAAAAGTGTATCGAACAATGAGAAAACCAAGGGGAAAATGTTAAATTGTCCCTCAATTGACGGGTGGAGAAAGAATATATATAAATATATGACATACGCATAAATATATTTTCTAAATTTTAGATCCATTATTCTGGACATTTTAGGGTCTAAAGTTCTTTTCCCTGAACCCGTACAATGTGAGAAAAAATCTTGAAATCCACTGACATTCTTTTAACCATAGAATAAATCCCTATGCCTGGTAGCCATGCTGTTCTTTAGGTTCCAGAGACAATGGCTCTAGATCACTTGGATAATTGAGACCAAATTTTATTTTGGAGCCACAGCTATATGAATGTTTTATTGATGGCTTAAGCACTTCCAAACAGAATAATATGTCAGTCCTGTGGAACCAAGCGTTTTTAGTGTTGCCTAAATGTTGACCCGGCTACTATATATGGTATTTACTATGTGGTAGCAAAACTGGACAGATATTACATTGTCAAATATGACCTGTTGTGGTTAGCTCATGAGCATTATATAAAGCAGCTAATGATTCATTTAGATTACTGGGTTCACCAGAATTTGTTTAAGGCAAGCAAAACTGCAAGCAATTTTCACCCCCACAAATGCTAGAGATGGGTGAATTAAAAAAAAAGGCAACTTTTTTGTTTTGATCCAGGAGAAAATGAGTTAGTTCATCAAGTGTTTTGAACACATGCTGTGAATTTTCCTTATTTATGATTTCTAAATGGGTCTCACAATCACGTCTCCATATTTAGTTATCTTGTTACTAAAGCCTTCCTATAATTTCGCTGAGAATCAAGTTGTCTCCTTCAAAACTTTATAGAGCTACATATGATGCAAAACCAAATGTACTGCAGCTGCTCTTTTAAATATCAGGTCACTGGGATGAGGTGGCTCTATCATTTTACCTTCTCTGCCAAGAAGCTGAGTACAACTTAAAATGTGGCTTGAGAAATTAGAGGTTCAACTATTGTTTTCTGTCAGGGTTGCCCTTTTGTTTCTCCCATTGATCAATTTATTTTCAATCAAATTAACTGATTTATAAAATCAAATAATATCTTAGTTTCAATGTACCTTTACATTTCTCTGCAAATCCTGGAAAAGGAAAATTTATTAGTAGTTAAGAGTTGAGAATAGTATTAACCCAATCTTCCCAAATTCATAAAAGTAGCCTAAGAAGAGCTATATAATTTCAGCACATATTATGACTGTAATAAATTTTTATATGCACTAAATATCACAATAATGAAGATTCTCCCTCATTAATATGCCTTGCAATAGATACCATGCGCTTCTGTGTTACAATTACCACAACCTGCACCAAGCCAGAGATAGTCACAAGGATTTTAGTTCCTAGATTCTCCAGTCTCAACCCAGCATAACTGAGATTATCTGGCTCAGAATTAACAGCCTTGGGGAGCAGTGGTACTTGTGTCTTCCACAGCCAAGCATGTTAGTTTATACTTCAGCATTTCTCTTCTGCTTCTCACACCCTAACATTAAAGATTTCCCCAAAGTTTGGTCCTAAATCATTTGCTCTCCTCTCTACTCTCTTTTCCCTTGGGGAATGAAACTCTTGTGAAATTTCATATATCACAGTAATTGCTCAGATCTTAAATCTCTATCTCTCGGACTCCTCTTCTGAATTTCAGTCCTTTTTATTACTAATTGCAGCGGTATTCGGAAATCCTGCCCCCTAACCAGATCTAAATAACTTACTCCTGGCCTTTCTTCCCACTAGACTATTTTCTCTTTCCCTGCATACTCACATTTAGGACCCTTACTCAAATCCCCATACTTTCGGACAGTTACATAACAAGCTATGAAAAAAGAAATTAGGCACTTGCTGAGCAGGATTGCCTTAGAATTGTAAACCCACCCTGGTAGCTTTCCCAGACAAGTGGCAAACACAACCATAGACATTTACACAGAACACAATTTGTACCCCTCCCCCAAAAAAAGCTGTATAATGAGGACTGTCTCGTATTTTCAGAAATTCCAAACAAGCGATCTTTTTTTTAAAGGGGAAAGAAATAATTAGGAGTTTGACTTTTGTTACAATTTAGAGTTTTAACATCATTTACATTGAATACAATCAGAGACAGGATAGGAAGGAAAGGAGGGAGAAAACAGGGCGTATTTGGCACATGTCCTACCAATCTTCAGATAAAGAATTACTACCTGCATTTGTGTTTTTATATAATTTTCCTTTACATATAATAACTTTTCTTAAGCTTTTATCCTGGGAAACTAATGACATTTTTTTCACAAAGCAAAACAGTATATAGAAATAGAAAAAGAATTACTCTTTAAACATTACATCAAGTTGGGTTTTAAAACTGAACTATGGAATATAAGGCAGCATGATATTTTTTAAAAAACTTACTTATGAAATTTTACTTGATTTATAAACTATTCTCTTTTTAATGACAGAATCCATAATTTAACTTTATAAAATGCAGATGCAGAGCAATAGTACCTTATCAGAAACTGTTGCTTATGTTAAAGAAAGCTTATAAAGAACAAAAATATCTGCATTTTCTACCCAAACAGTAAATGAGAAGACCAAATAATTTTATATGAATGTTATCTGTGAAACACAATATTTCAAAAAGAAAACCAAGGCCCTTCAGTTTTTTTTCAAAACAACTTTAGAACTCAGGATAATAAATCTCCTCTGTATAGTATTCAGTCTTCAAAAGGCCAGACTTAATTATACACCAAAAAAAATTTTAATTGGAGTTTGGAGGGAGGGAGGGCAAACTTTTTTGACATTGGCTAACATTTGCTTTAGTCCTTGTAGGGAATTAGGCTTTTTGGTAAGCGTGAATGAATGAGGTGGGGTAAAGGCAGGGAAAGAACTGCCCAGCACAATATATAATCACCTACTGTTTTTGCCCTTTGGGAAATAAATGCCTATGAACAAAAAGGTTCCAATGTTGCCCCAGCCAGTTTGGCTCAGTGGATAGAGTGTTGGCCTGCAGACTGAAGAGTCCCAGGTTTGACTCCAGTCAAGGGCATGTACCTCGGTTGTGTACTTCGATGCAAGCTGATCCCCAGCCCTGGTTGGGGGCACATGTGCGGGAGGCAACCAATTGATGTGTCTCTTTCAAGAGATGTTTCTCTCTCTGTCTCTCCCCCTCCCTTCCACTCTCTCTAAAAATCAATGGAAAAATATCCTTGGGTGAGAATTATTTTTTAAAGAAAGATTCTAATGTTGTCCTTAGGCCAGCTAAGCACTTTGGATGGGCCACAAGATACCCTCTCACACTGGGTCTATAACAGCCCAGAATGATTCTTGGTCTGAAAATAAATCACACCTCAGGTTTCTCAAGCCAAGTCAATAGTGTCCCATGTCCTCTAGAAGACCAAGAAGTTCAGAATTGCCATGTGCTCAGTTCAAAATATTAGACCATGTCATGAAGGATTACAAATTTTGTATCTATGACAGTCACCATCCACTGGCAGAGCTGACTATATACTAAAAACAGCAGCAAAGAACTGTCAAGCCATGCAGATCTTTTTCTTCTTCCCCTACATATACACACATAATTTTTAAAAGTATTGAAAATATTAGAGCGAAAACATTTATGCTAGCCTCAGTTTCACTTTTTCCACTTCATTAGGCCTTAAAAACAAACCATCGTCATCTAGACTATGTAACTGAGTTAAGAAAATAACAAAGTGATTAAATAGGAAAGTGATTCTCTGCTGAAATAAGTGCTACTACATCTATGAATCTCCCAGCTTCCTTCTCTTATCTACTCTTTTTGAAAATGCATCCAGAAAGCAGCAGGGAGAGAAAATTGCCAATGAAATTTCCAAAACATGTCTGCATCAAAAACGTTGATGACAAAGGAAAAGTTGAAAAGCATTTATAAAACTTCCAAAATTCAATCTATTTCCCTTTCTTATCTTTAAGCTTTTCACAAATGCGGTCAAAGCCTTTGACTGAGAGAAAAAAAAGTAGCATTGTAGAGATTCAAATCCCACCTAAGTCTTGGGAACTAGGAGATTCTGTCAGATATAAGGTTTTTCATATACTTGGTGGTAGAAAAATCCTGAGAAATGTACTTTTTATGTTCATGACAGAAAGTTCTACTATCAGAATAAGAAGAGGACCCTATGAAGCTGAAAATGACACTTTGTCAATTAATTTCTTAACAGAAACAGCTGTTTGCAAAATGACTTGCTTTTTCAAATACATTTGGAATTATAGGAGGAAGTCCTCTCAAATACAGTAACTCGATTACATTTTCAGAGATATCTTACTGCTCTGCAAGACTACCAAGAGTTAAGGGTTAAATGTTAAATAAAGGCAACAAACAGATGATTTGTTCTATGAAAAAAAGTTATCCCATTTAAATGATCATCTATTAAAAGAAAGAATCCTATTGATTATATATTAACCCACTGAAAACTACTTATATGCATAGACATGGCCTCTCAGAGGAAGCCAAATTTGTAATTTTGAAATTACAAATCATACATACATACCATCACAGACCTGTTAAAGGCTAGGGACAATCAGAAAGAACTAAAAGTGAGTCACATCAACATAAACTATCAGCCAGATGTCAGCATGAGAATGGCAAATTCCCCACTTTCTTCTTTTTAGAGTTCTGTCTTTATAAAAATAAATAGAATCGGTATTATTTTCTCCTCCAATATTTTATCATCTATGAATATTGATATATATGCACAAAGAGCATTTTTAAAATCTTATATACAAGTTTTAATTTAAATTTGAGATGCAGACAAGAATTTTTTAAGTCTATAATAAACCATTTCCTGTATATATTGAAGGCAAAATTAATGAGGCTAAACGTAGACCCCATAGAGAGGGCGAGCCAAGTACACACACCCTCCACTGTAGTCAGCTCTGATATACATATACAGGGCAATGACTTTGGAGCAAACCAGAAACCA